ACTTAAGGGGGTTAGATTTTGATAAGTTCTTTAGTGGGAATGGCACTGATGAAGACTGCACATTGTAGTCGAAATACGTATCTGTCATGGATACCAAAATTAATTAAGTGGAATTAAATGGAAGATAACCCTATTTTGCTGTTTTATTAAAGCATTCCGCTAACAACCCAATTTCATTACTTCACTGTGTTTCCCGCCAAATTGGACATGCGAAACAAACAAACATAACAAAAGCAGCTGTGAGAATTAGCATGAGGCTGAAAGCCTCCTAAATAAAGCTAAATTAATTAATTAATTAGCATGAGCAGCAGCAGTTTCTTGAACTTTTCCACATTTTCATCCACCGGTGCGCTTGTTTCTCTTCTGTAAGATACAAATAATAAGATGGAGACATTCGTGGTGACGCTATGAAGTGGAAGGATTGGAAGGATCCTCCAGCTGCGGGATTTGGAGGTAAGATGATGAAATTTTCGAAGAGTTTGCTTGGTTCCGATTTTCCTAATTGATGTGTTTTGATTTTCAGCAGCCTCGTCAGAATTGCCGGAAAGGAAGGCTACTCCCACCATCACCATCACCAGCTGTTCAGCCAACTGTATATTTGCGTAATACGCTTCCCATGCTTTGAAGTTCCATAATGCCGTGCCCTTTCAGTCAGCATCATATAAATAAACTTAAATATATTAAATTAAACATTTCTATGCTTTATTTTTTTCAAAGTAAAAAGCAACTAAATTAAAAAGAATTCATATTTGAAATGAAAACATAAATCATTGCGATAAAACTGCCCATCTTTTAAATTAAATCCTTTCATAAGTCTATTTAACAAAATAGGTTTTCATATTGACAGTTCTACAATTCGATTTGAAAGTTTCAACTTTTAAAAGTAAAAAACGAGTTACTTTTGAATTAACAGTTAGCTGACTTTTGTTTTGAAAGCTAAAGACTTTCTACCAAAAAGAACCAACGGAAACTTTTAATTCTACCAATGGATTTTTCAATTTTACTAACGATAATTTTTTGTGTGTAGTCAAGTAGTGAGCCAATTTAAAATCATTAGTTTCTTATTGATTGTTGGTATTACTACGCTTAATACCTTTAAATCTGCTATGAATTCAGTTTAATTGACTATAAATATAATCAAATTTACTACCATTCTGTCAAAGCTACTATGCTGACTCAAACGGTATAGTAGATTCGATAGAAAATTAGTCAAATGAAATGAATTTCGTTTCTGCACAAATCTATTGATAGGAGTATTTAATTTAAACCATCAATATAGTATATTTGCCAATGGTTCAGTATTGACTGATATGGGTGGATGCAACCCAATTTTAGGGAATTTTGTAATAGCGTGCACGCAGGTTTAGAGGTTTGACGTTTATTCCCAGCCTGAGCAGCAAGCAGTTCATTATAAATCCCTACACGGTTACCAGCGTAAACACATAAATGAGTAAAAAAATACACATTTTTTATATTTATATGCAGCTGTCAAAAAATGTGTAAATTTGGAGATCTTAAAATGTGTAAAAAAATACACATTTTAAGAATGTAGTACCAGTCAAAAAGTGTATTTTTATACTCATTAATGGGTAAAAAAAACTTCAAACTTTGCTGTGGCCTGCCTTGTTTACGCACGTAATTTGTATATATTTCAGTGAAGTACAACAGGAAAATGGAGGAGCTACGGTCCAAGCTTGACAGTACGACGATGGACATACTAGAAGGTAGGTGATTTATACTATTTTCATAATTAAGTTTTGGAAAAACTTGCTTGCTTCATACTGATTTTTGTTTTTTCCTTAATTTGTTTTCCGTGCTGAGCACCAATGCTACTGACGCCAGGAAGGAAGCTCCCACACCTGGATCCTACCTATCGATCCATCAACTCATGAAGCGGGAACCAATGGATTTACTTCCTTTCCGAAGGAAGGCGTGATTCTCGGCGTGATCAGAGATGTTATGCCTCAGAACATCCTAGCGGTGCCGACTGGGATTGAAATCAGGCCTGCTGGGGAAAGAGGCAATTACGCTTACAACACCGGCGCCGGTACTGATTTTTTGATGGCATTCCTTTTTTTTAATAAAATATTATTGTATTCGAGCAATCTTTATTTTATAATTAACACAAATAAGAAAATTCCGAAGACAATAAAAAACCATGCGCACCCATTATATTTAAGTTCTAGAAATGATTACTTTTAACACATTTTGCTGTAAAAACCGTTCTTGAAAAATGTGTAAAAAATACACTTCTATTGACGTTTGCTGGGTTTACACATAAATGTGTAAACGCAGTTTACACATTTTATGAGTAGACCCCTTTTTTCACGAAATGTGTGAAATTTTACACATTAATGTGTTTACGCTGGTAACCGTGATTGGAACAACTTTTGACAGACTTCCATACTTTTACTGTACACGGTTACCAGCGTAAGCACATTAATGTGTAAACCCAGCAAGCTACTTGCGTTTACGTTGATTTTTTGGTTTACTAATGCAACCATATTTCACGATCTGCTTCCCCTCTCTTTGTAGCTCATTGGATGGGAACAGCTTTTTTCAGTTTTGTGGCGACAGTCGTCCATACTTTTACTGTACACGCTTAGTTCAGTTCACCCAAATATGGATGAAGAACACCCTAATAAAAATAACCATAAAAAGAGCTTAACGACGTGTTCGGGGTATCATCCAAACCATTTGTGGGATAGTTTACCTATTCGGGATACAGTTCGTTTATGGTATTTGTTTATTAGGGCACTCATAATCGCGCAAAAGTGCACATACCCATTTTATGGGTAAAGTTGATTTACCCATATATGAATACATTTACCTTACTAAAAATGTAGGTAATTTTTACCTGTTTATAGGTTATTGATTTTGGGTGAATTTAACTCATATTTGGGTGAATATTTTCATTTTTCTTCTGTAATTTTAACGGAATAAATAAAAAATAAAAATACTTTGTTTAAATTGTATTTTATTTGTATCAAATATTACGCATTCATATTTAATATATTTTGATCATAGTTTTTCTCTTTCTATTTTGCCAAAACAAAAGTAAAAAATAGCTACCGCAAGCTTTAGTAGTCACAAGATTTTTTTTTTACTATTCCTATGAAAAATACGACAAAAATACCAGTTACTTCTCTTTGTTTGGCAAATCGTGGATCTATAGACCCATTATAGGGAAGTGACCATTTTTCACGTGATTCCGGAATTCCAGAGGATCGTTTAATGGCCACATAGTAGCATAATCGATGTAGTGATGACATTTGTTTGTTGCTCATGATTGTATGCAATTCAGTAAAAATCTCAGATCTTTAAAAAGTGAAAAAAATAATGTAAATATCGGTCAATCAACTATCATACAAAATACTTACCTATCAAAGGGAGTCTTACGGAGCAGCACAGAACCTAGAAGCAGCGTTGCCAGGTTGCCAGATTTATCTGGCACAGCCAGAGAAATTTAAGCTCTGCCAGACAGATTTTTTGAGAAATCTGGCAGCTTCCTATGTTATTTTTCTGTGCCAGATTTTTGCCAGACTTTTTTTCGGGTTTTGCCAGATTTTTTCAAAATAAGCCTGGCATCTCTGCCTAGAAGGGAAAATTGAAAAAAAAAAAAGTACTAATACTACCGTAAAATTACTAACCAGCCAGCGATGGAAACGCTGGATGACACGGCGAGGTAAGCTTGTTCCCTCCAGCTTCCTCCTCCCCCTCCAAATAATGTAGAATTTCCACCAATCTACTTACGAATTACGGCAATTTGATTACGGAATTGAATAGATCAGTGCACGGTCCCTAACACGGTAACCAGCGTAAACACATAAATGAGTAAAAAAAATACACATATTTTATATTTATATGCAGCTGTCAAAAAATGTGTAAATTTAGAGATCCTAAAATGTGTAAAAAAATACACATTTTAAGAATGTAGTACCAGTCAAAAAATGTGTATTTTTATACTCATTAATGGGTAAAAAAAACTTCAAACTTGTTGACGCACGCCATTTGCTAAATTTCAGTGAAGAACAGCAGGAAAATTGAGGAACTACGGTCCAAACTGGACAGTGCGCAACGATGGACATTCTAGAGGGTAGGTGATTTATACTTTTTTCATAGCTTTTATTTTTAGTTTAGTTTATATACCTACTTCATATACTGATTTTTGTTTTTCTTCCCTTGATTTGTTTCCCGTGCTGAGCATCAATGCTACCGACGCCAGGGAGGAATCTCCCATACCTGGACCCTACCTATCGACCCATCAACTCATGAACCGGAAACCAATGGCTTCACTTCTCTTCCGAAGGAAGGCGTGATCCTCGGCGCGATCAGAGATGTTATGCCTCAGAACATCCCGGCAGCGTCGACTGGGATTGAGAGTAAATCACGAGGAAATCACGCTTACCAACACCACCTATTTTTGTTGATTATATTTCTGTTTTTAATAAAATATATACAATAATCGAGCAATCTTTATTTTACCATTGACACAAATATGAAAATTCCGAAGTTAATAAAAAACCATGAGCACTCATTATATTTAAGTTCTAGAAATGATTACTTTTTACACATTTTGCTATAAAAACCGTTCTTGAAAAATGTGTAAAAAATACACTTCTTTTGACGTTTGCTGGGTTTACACATAAATATATAAACGCAGTTTACACATTTTATGAGTAGGCCCCTTTTTTCACGAAATGTGTGAAATTTTACACATTAATGTGTTTACGCTGGTTACCGTGAGTGTTTTCAAGATTTGGACTGGTGAGGGACGTGCTGTCAAAACCTGGGGGGGGGGACGTACTGTCAAATCAGCCTACTGATCATCTTGTATGAAACTGGTTCCAAACGTAAACAAACGCTGTAGGTTTCTTATGGCTTGTTTACGTTTGGAACCAGTTATGCGAGGTAGGCGACGATTGTTCGTATTTGACAGCCACCTCACCTCCCCCCTTGGATTTGGAAGGGAATAGAAAATAAGACATCGACCGACTGTTTGGATGTTTCATTTGCAGCGCTTTTGAGTTGAACTCTAAATAGAACCATCTGTACCGTTAATTAAGCCTGGTGGACTAGTAGTGATAAAAATTTTACTTCATCACGTCTTAATTTACAATGAAAATTCCGTCTGTTACCGTGATACTGTGTTCGTTATTCTTCTGCTACATAGCTCACTCAATTTATACATTAGTGAAATTGTTTAGTACCCCCATATGTACCAAAAAACCATGTTTTCAATCGTACTTCGCATCTAACCCTAAGCTCCAGTTAGTATTGTTTACTTCTCCTACAAGCAACCCTATAAGTAGTGAAGTTACCAAAATTACTTCAATAAGACGGTTTGATTATTACAATGAATACAAAAGGTGAATATTGTGTATTGAACGCCGACAAAATTTATTGGAAAATGCCACGACACTAATTATGCCTTTATTTCAGGTCATTCGTTATCGGCATTCCCGCAAAGACAAGGCGCAATGGAACATTATTTTTACATGCTATTCTCGGAGCGGATAGTGAAACTATTGAATGGAAATCTCTTAAGACGGACGGCCCTACGGTGTTACAGAAAATGCAATTAACAGAATATGCAATTCCAAGAGCAGCTGCATTTAATCTTCTTGGTGAACCGGTAAGCTAGTGCAAAGACATTGATCCGATGCACATATATTAAAAGGATATAATCGTTAAATTTCATTATCTGACGGATGCATGGATTCATGATCGATAAAAATTATTACGAATAAGTGGTTGACTACCACGGGATATAGAGATTGCTGACGTTTATCGTACGCACACTATACGTACACAAAAATGTTTTCATCGGGAAAAAAAAACTTCATAGCGGAAAATTTACCCGATAAAAACAAATCACTGACACAATCATATTTTAGCAATCTCTATAGTCGCTATATTCATAGTCTGGCGGATAGAATCTCGGGAACCAATTGAGCTGTCAAATAGCGGAACCAATCGAGCAAATCACGACCAACAACAGAAAAGAGCACATCAGCTATTGCGAACAAAACTTCGGAAACCCTTTTCTCGTGACTCAAGGCTCACCTACGCAAACTAACACCATCTTTGGGTTGGTAAAATTTTCCCCTATCCGACGATGCCGGTAATTTGCGTTCGATTGGCGTGGAAAGAATAATCATCGTTTTGTTTATAAAAGTTTATAGTACCTTTTCAATTGTTGGTCTAAAATATATTGAATTGGTTCCGCTCTATGCACGGTGTTTCGCGAAAACCCATTACATAATGGGTATAAAAATACCCATTACCGCTAAAAGTGCCCCTCCTCATTTAATGGGTAAACTATGGTTTACTCATAAATGGGTAAATGGGTGGTCGTCAATAAATGGGTGTTTTTTCACCCATTTTCTTATATTATGTTTACTGTAAAATGGGTGAAAAAATACCCATTTTTACAAATGGAGGATGCAAGCGCTCGTTGATATAAAAAACTTTCTAAAACATTGAAAATAAATGCAGGTGTTCCGCTCAAATTTTACGCGAAATATTATTATACCATATTGAATCATATGTATTGACTTAACGGCGCCGGTTTTGTAGTGGTAAGCGTGATTACCTCTCACCCCAGCAGGCCTGGGTTCAATCCCAGTCGGCGCCGCCGGGATGTTCTGAGGCATAGCATCTCTGATCACGCCTTCCTTCGGATGGGAAGTAAAGCCGTTGGTCCCCGGTTCATGAGTTGATTGGTCGATAGGTAGGGTCCAGGTGTGGGAGCTGCCTTCCTGGCACGTCGGTAGCATTGGTGCTCAGCACGGAAAACAAGATCGACGGAAAAAACAAACCAAAGGAAAAAAAAAAATTGTATTGACTTATACGTACACAGCAATAAAAAATGTAATATCGATCAATGTAATTCAAGCTGATGTATGAAATAATTATGTTATAGCAAAAAGCAGATACAATATTACATCAATGGATGTAATTTTGTTCGCAAAATCGATGTACATCGTACAACATTATATTACACAACCGATGGATTGACCTGGCTGCAGCAGTTTGGATGTAATATTCAACAACTTTTTTTTCTGTGTAAGCCTCTCCAACGTTTTGGATTCTAACGTTTTTCATAGATCGTCTATTTGCGCCAAATATGCTGCGGACAGTAACTGTTGAGTCGGTGACGGAAATGAGACGATAAAATTTCGAAGTGTTTTTTCACCCATTAATGGGTAAAAAATATACCCATTATTCAGCCGTGAACTGATTCTTTAAATGGGTATTTTTTCACCCATTTTATGATTTCAAAATTCCCCCACTTTTTGACAGCTGCATACATGGTTTGAAAATGGGTATTTTTTACCCATTAATGGGTTTTCACGAAACACCGTGTGATAGATCGAAATTCTATCTGCCAGACTATGAATATAGCGACTATATTACCGGGCCCGTTCAAATTAGAAATACTGAGAGGGAGAGATGGGCGGAGAGAATGTTTTGAGCCAAATGAACTGTCAAAATCGGAGCCTATATCGAACATCCCGCATAAACGCGAACCATCACATGACCTTACCGATAATGGTTATAAATTGTTTATAATCCCTGCTAAACTTCAACTGGAATGGTTATGGAACTTTACATGAACGTTTGTGTGATAAAGTTTTAACCTTATGTATTATGGTTTTTTGGAAGCGGAAATGTATGGAGAAAACAAGAATTTGGAACGGTAATGGTTCTTAACAACCCATTATTTGTAAGGTCCAGTTCCAAAAAACCATAATACATAAGGTTGAAACTTTATCATTAAACGTTCATGTAAAGTTCCATAACCATTTCAGTTAAAGTTTAGCAGGGATTATAAACAATTTTTAACCATTTAAGGTAAGGTCAATGTATGGTTCGCGTTTATGCGGGAAGGTTTGAAATCATCTGCCGATTAAACAGCAGACAAGGTTGGCCGACTAAATCCATCGACGAAAAACTATTAAATAGGCCGATTGCTCGGTGTAGCACCAGACGAAAAACGATTTAATCTGCTGATTAATACACCGACTGAAATTAATTTTTAAGTGGCAATAGATTTAGTCGGTGGATCGGGTGATCTGGATGATGTTTGTTTATTTGGAAGATATTTTCGAAACAAAGCACGATAAAATTCAGAATTATATACCATTATTACGAGTACTACTTTTTTGCTCGGATCATGTTTTGACTCCCACAGAAACTCAAGAAGAAGAAATTTCAAAAATGTATTCAGTTTGACACATTATTTCGGACTTATCACCGCTGCGATTGCAGCGCCACGGTGGCCGATTGAAACTTGGATTTGTCAATCAAATAAGCTCAAATTTTGTGATAATGATGAGGACCAGATTTGACATTGATTTAGCTCGGTAGAGCATAATTGATATTTTGAACCACCCTAATAGATATATGTTAGCTTGTTTTTAATCAGCTCATTGAATGCATTTCATGATACTTAATTTTTTTCTAGTATGGCAAATCATTAAATTCACAGAAACTAATATAGTATATGCCTAATAGTTACTACAGACAGATGTGTAAAAACATATGCTTTTGCACTAATCCATTTTGTATAGAAATCAGCGGCATCAATCCATGCAGTTTTACAATACTTTCAAATATTTTTTTATTCTATTTTTCTAGGAATCCAAAAATTCAAGGCACAAATCTTTTTCAACCAAATCAGTAACACATGTTCGAACGAAGGTGTTTTTCAACATACTTACGGAACATTTTCAAATGTCAATTGCTGATATACCACCAGAGTTAGCCAGATATGTTCGAATCAACTATAAAAACGAATTTCTGCCAATCTTGCATGTAGATTTTTCAAAAGCTCGTCAGGCGGACTTGCTTGAAGTTAAAGCAAGGAGCGAAAACTTCACGCTGGAGTTGAACTATATACCGATAGGAGTTGGTAAACTGAAACTGTTGGCACATGTGGAACAAGCATTTCAAGCTCTTCAGACAATGGGATTCTCCAATAAGGATTTAGATGAAGTGAAAGGAATATTTTCGGATACGAATTTGTATTTACTGTGTGGAACTCTTTTTGTTGGAAGTATACACGTACGTAGAAAACCAAATACTGAATAAAAAAAAGTATAACCTATGACTCAAAGATCATTTTTATTTTTAGATGCTGTTTGATTTTCTCGCGTTTAAGAATGACGTCTTATTCTGGCGTCACAGAAAAAGTTACGCTGGATTGTCCGCCAGATCAATTCTTTGGTGTGCGTTTAGTCAAATAGTCGTATTTTTATATCTGATGGACGCTGAAACATCATTAATAGTGTTAATCCCTGCTGGAATTGGAACAATTATCGAATTGTGGAAAACGAAGAAAATTTTCAGATTGAAACTAGGATGGTCTGGGATACAATATGCACCACTTACTGAACAAACAAGTCTACTTTCGCAAGCTGAAAATGATACGCGAATATTTGATAAACAAGCCATGAAATATCTCAGTTATCTATTGTATCCTCTTTGTGTTTGCGGTGCAATTTATTCGCTTATTTATCAGCCTCACAAAAGGTAAGACAACTTTCCTGTTATAATCCATTTTGAGAGTATAAAATCCGCAAAAACGTAGATCACTGAGTAAAATTTTCGAATATGAGGAAAATCGAGAGAGGTTTCTCTCAGTCTATTAGTATAATGCTAGACTGAGCAGATTTTAGAAGAAAAACGAAGAAAATTTTACTCATTGATCTACGTTTTGCGATTTTTAGTCAAAACAACTCAATTTTGAGTTGATTTCATCGGCCGTGTACATGCCACAATTCATCAGCCTTATACCATTGACAGACATACAATGCAGTACCGTTGTGCTCCTTTAATAGAGTACCTCAAAAGGTACAATTTGAGGCACTAGCTTATACCAACAATCAAAACGAAACTAACGATTTTAAATTGGCTCACTACTTGACTAGCCTATTGGTCCCAAGCAAACGATTAACGTATCCCATTGTAGTCGAAATTCTAGTACTACGCAATGTTTGTTTTGATTCGCTATGAAAGTTTGACAGATAAAATGAGGGGTTATTGGTTTTTTCTATGTTTCGAGGGGTGAATCGATTAGCTTGAGACCGAAGATAGTACCAGAGCTGAGCCAAAAAGTTGAGCACGTTGAAAACTCTTGTAATAAATTTTCGTTATACCTTGTACAGACATACAAAGTACACTGTTGTACTACCGTTGTACTTCTTTAATACCATTGACAGACATACAAAGCAGTACCGTTGTACTCCTTTAATCAAGTACCTCAAAAGGTACAATTTGAGGTACTAGCTTAAATAAGTACAACGGTAGTACAACCAACAATCAATACGAAACTAACGATTTTAAATTGGCTCACCACTTGACTAGCCTATTGGTCCCAAGCAAACGATTAACGTACCCTATTCTAGTCGAAATTCTAGTACTACGCAATGTTTGTTTTGATAAGCTATGAAAGTATGACAGATAAAATGAGGGGTTATTGGTTTTCCCTATGTTTCGAGGGGTGAATCGATTAGCTTGGGACCGAAGACAGTACCAGAGCTGAGCCAAAAAGTTGAGCACGTTATTTCGGGACGTTTATTTAGGTCCCGAAATAACGTGCTCAACTTTTTGGCTCAGCTCTGGTACTCTCTTCGGTCCCAAGCTAATCGATTCACCCCTCGAAACATAGGGAAAACCAATAACCCCTCATTTTATCTGTCATACTTTCATAGCTAATCAAAACAAACATTGCGTAGTACTAGAATTTCGACTCTAAGACCAGAAGGTCCCGAAATAACGTGCTCAACTTTTTGGCTCAGCTCTGGTACTCTCTTCGGTCCCAAGCTAATCGATTCACCCTTCGAACATAGGGAAAACCAATAACCCCTCATTTTATCTGTCATACTTTCATAGCTAATCAAAACAAACATTGCGTAGTACTAGAATTTCGACTAGAATAGGGTACGTTAATCGTTTGCTTGGGACCAATAGGCTAGTCAAGTGGTGAGCCAATTTAAAATCGTTAGTTTCGTATTGATTGTTGGTTGTACCAACAATCAATACGAAACTAACGATTTTAAATTGGCTCACCACTTTAGTAGCCTATTGGTCCCAAGCAAACGATTAACGTACCCTATTCTAGTTGAAATTCTATCACTACACTATGTTTGTTTTGATTCACTATGAAAGTTTGACAGATAGCATCAGGGGTGTGTGGATTCATGCAGAACATGCAGGGGTAAGTGAAATAGCTTGGGACTGCTTGGGACCGTTGTTCTGGTACTGAGTGAGCCAAAAATAATAATGATTTTCTTCGGGACCCAGTGGTCTTAGAGTTACCTCTATGGTTGTACTACCGTTGTACTTATTTAAGCTAGTACCTCAAATTGTACCTTTTGAGGTACTTGATTAAAGGAGTACAACGGTACTGCTTTGTATGTCTGTCAACGGTAGTACAACAGTGTACTTTGTATGTCTGTACAAGGTATAACGAAAATTTACTACAAGAGTTTTCAATAGTTCATATGTTCATCACGAGAGGGATTATTGTCATTGAAGTAGTCATTTATTCCAAGCCAATGGGAAGACGTCATTATTGCGTAGGAAACATTGATGAGTGCAGCGATTAATTTTACTACTAAACTTTCTTAGATGTTTAACTCACATTTTAGTAAAAAAAGATTTTAATTTTTGGAAATTTTATTTTCTATGTAGAGAAAATGGGGAAGCTCTGAGCGGAGAAATCTCAAATGAAGTGAAGCAATCTACTTTGTAAAATCAAGTCCTAGTTTCAGAATCGTAATAAAAATCTAAATTCGCTACTTCAACTGTTAGTCTTAAAATCTTGAAAATGTCTTCAAGCCTTGCACTTAAAAAATAGACTTTCTTCAGGATGTAGCAAATTTGGCTGATTCCCTGATAATTATTTTATATTCAATCAAGTAAACCACCATCACACTTTGTGAGTGGCCCCAACAGCATCCTTGCTGTTGGTTTAAATCGGTTCAAACCGCTTATAATTAATTATTTTGGTCATTGATAAAATAAAATAAACCATCATCACACTTTGTGAGTGGCCCCAACAGTATCCTTATTGTTGGTTTAAATCGGTATACACACATCTAATAATGATCTACATCTCTAGACAGCCGGCTGTTTAGAGCATAAATCGAAAACACTTATAAATAACTACACAAAACAAAAGATCGCATCACTTATCAAGGTGAATCCTGATCCAACGAACCTAACCCACTAACAAAACCTCCTTCCTGTGACTTTTGTGGGATGCAGAGGTAAACACGGTCCCAAAACAACAAAAGTCACACACTAACATTCCTTCCCTCTCCCACCTGATTGCAAGGACGTGGCCGGTGACGTTATTGATCTTTAAAGGTAGGAGTCACTGGAACATGTACACTGAGAATGGCAGGTTACTCCCAAGCCCCATTCAGTTGATTCTTTGTACAATTTCACTGGTTCAGATCAATCACGGAGTGCAACTATTGATACGTGCAGTCAGACTAAGCTAAGCTAAGATGTAGCAAATTTGGCTGATTCCGACAAAAAGCCTTGAAAATTTTCACAGTGCCAGAATCATAAGTGTCCAAGTCTACGTCCGAAACCTTCTCAGGATTAAAATCTAGAAAATATCTCCATGTCTTACTTTTTAAAGTTCAAGGCGATAAAAAAAATAGTTCTCGAAATCTTGAAGACTCTTCTAACTCCTGAAAGACCTTGAAAATTTTTCTTCATCTGAGTCACCTTGACAATTCCTTTGAAACTATGCACAGAATTTCTTTGGAATTTGCACAAGAACTTAGTCATGGGGATCCCCCTGATGTACTATACCTATCACGCCTAGTCACGAGTTCAAATCTCATCCTCGAACAAGTTATGAATGAGCTAAGAGTGTTAAAGCAACACACACAAAAAACTTACAGTCGTCTCAGAATTCATCCTCAAAATTCGATTCTGATATAATTCCCCTTACAATTCATTTGAACACTCCTTTGAAGAATATTATAGTAATTCTTTGGAATTATCCACACACTAAGATTTTGTTTCCGTATTCGGTAAATTTTACCGAAATCAGAACAGCTGAACGTTCGGTAAAACTTTGACCTTCATTTTAAAGGCTATTGAATTTGAAAATAATATCAAAACATGTTTAAATGATCAAATCTTGTCATTTAAGTGGAGATTTAGTTTCAAAGTAGCTGAAAAGCAATTGAATTTGATTGTATAAAGTTTACCGAAAGTTCAGCTGTTCAGATTTCGGTAAAAATTACCGAAGTCGGCGATAATTTCTAAGTGTGCATAGGTTTTCTATTGAAATCTAGTCAGAATTTTCTTTGAAAGTTCTTTTAAATTCCCTTGGAATTCTACTCACTATCATATTTTTTTCATCAAAATCCATGTTAAGTTTTCCTCACAATTCCCTCTGAAATAAGTACCATCTATTTGTAGTCTTTCTAGATTTAATTTTTTTTCTTGATTTGTTTTCCGTCGATCTTGTTTTCTATGCTGAGCACTAATGCTACTGACGCCAGGGAGGCAGCTCCCACACCTGGACCCTACCTATCGACTCATCAACTCATGAACAGGGGACCAACGGCTTAACTTCCCTTCCGAAGGAAGGCGTGATCAGAGATGTTATGCCTCAGAACATCCCGGCGGCGCCGACTGGGATTGAACCCAGGCCTGCTGGGATGAGAGGTAATCACGCTTACCACTATACCACCGGCGCCACTGTTTCCAGATTTCATGAATCCATTTTCCAGATTGTGAAAAATATCGCAGCTCATCGTCACTGTCAATTGAGTCATTTCTACGACAGTGGAGTATGGAAGAAATCCAGCAACATGGTCCCGAACAGACAAGTTGACCCGATGTCGGATCAATATAAGGCAAATTTAAAGTTGATGTCGGGTCAATTTTGAGTTTATGTTGGGTCAATGTCGGGTCAACATCGGGTTGGGGTTTGGTAGAAGTCAGGTTGGTGTCGGGTTGACTTAGCTTTTTCGCTGGAATCTTGATAAGAGCTCCGTTCAGTTGAATGATATCAAGCGTTACTCAAATGAGAAGGATCCATGCCTTCATCAAATGACTAAGCAACAGATATCACATATTCGAAGGAAATCCCCTTTGATAGCGGATAGCTGCTTTTCTCATTTTCATCAAAAATGTTCCAATTGATTTTGAGAACTTACAGCACTGACTTCAGCATACGGATGAAGGCAGAAAAGTGGATTCACTTGGATTAAGTCTGGAACGCGCAAAAATTGGTCAGCATTGGTGTATTTCTGTTAAAAATGCATAAAAAACCTGAAATTCTGCATTTTGAAGTTAATTAAGTATATACAATGGTTGCTATGATTCACCGTTTGCTCTCCAGTTTTCAAATTGACGTCCAAGCAAGAGGAGCAGCGTGTCAAAATTTTGCTCGCGCAGCAAGAGAATCCGACGTTCTCACACGCCAAGTTGGCAAAATTTCTGGATGTGGCCAAATCGACCGTGACAAATGTTTTAAAAGTGTTCGGGGAGCGTCCAGGAATCGTAATCCGGACGTGGCAGCGACGACGAAGAAGGTGACGGTGAAATACAAGCGGAATTCTAACCTCTCCATCCGGGGCGTCGCTGGCAAGCTCAATGTTTCCCATAATACTGTGCAGCGGGCCAAGAAACGGGCCGGGTTGTCGACGTTTAAGAAGGTGAAGGTGGCGAACCGGATTACAAACAAAACACGTCGGCAAAGCAGCGGTCCCGAAAGCTGTATACGAATCTGCTCACAAAGTTCGACTGTGTCGTCATGAACGACGAAACTTATGTGAAGGCGGATTTCAAGCAGCTTCAAGTTTTATACTGCATCAGGAAACGGGAAGGTGGCTGAAATTTTGAAAACAATCAAACTATCGAAGTTCTCGAAAAAATATCTCGTCTGGCAAGTCATATGTACGTGTGGTCTTTTCAGCGGCATTTTCATTACTACGGGAACCATCAATCAACGTCCAGGAGTGCCTGGAAAAGCGGCTACTACTACCTGTGCTGTTCTGGCCGGACTTGGCGAGCTGCCACTATGGGAAAAAAGCAATCGAGTTGTATGATGCGAACAACGTGGTTGTGGTACGCAAAGAACACAACCCTCCCAACAGCCCAGAACTCCGCCCTATCGCACGGTATTTGTCCTTGGTCAAATGGAATCTCAAAGAAACTAATAAATCCGTGGAAAACAAGCATCAGTTTAAATCTAACAGGCGTTCGGTGGCGAATAAGGTCGATGAGACCACTGTGCAAAATTTAATGGAAGGGGTTAACGGAAGGCACGGCAGTTCGGATTTAGCAAACCACAAGAATAAACGATTTTCATTTAAACATATGAACAGTGATGCAAAATATCATGACACTCACGTGACACTCGTCTACGCATCAACCGACTTTCACTGATAGAACGTTTTGTCAAGCGGTGAGAGGTAGCAAAGTAGGCAACATTAAACGGAAGCTGTTGGGCTCACTCACCAACACACTCACATAAGCAAGCAAAGCAGCAACCGCTTTAAAACAAGGACAAATGAGTGTCGTGATTGTCGGGAATGACCAGATCGGTGAAGGATCACAACCGAAGACAACACTCACCAGTTGCTTTTTACTTATTTCGTCAACTTGATGGATGGTCATGGAGAGAGCTTCAGTGAGCACATTGATAGGAATGTACAAAGCGTTACTACCATCAGCTGTTTGACGAGCGTAATTGTGATAGTTCGCAACTCTGCATATGAATTGAACTACCAAAAGAAAAATAAGAAGATTTTTGTGATATGAATTTTGACTGAAAGAAACGATTTTTTTGTCGACCAATTTTTGCGCGTTCCAGTCTTTATAATATCATAGCATTAATTCGTTCACGATAGCGGCGCCGGTGGTGTAGTGGTAAGCGTGATTACCTCTCCCCCAGCAGACCTGGGTTCAATCCCAGTCGGCGCCGCCGGGATGTTCTGAGGCATAACATCTCTTATCACGCCTTCTTTCGGAAGGGAAGTAAAGCTGTTGGTCACCCGTTCATGAGTTTATGGGTGTGGGAGCTGCCTCCCTGGCATCGATAGCATTGGTGCTCAGCACGGAAAACAAGATCGACGGAAAACAAACCAAGAAAATAAAATTATTCGTTCACGTCGAAATCATTGATATATTTGATTATTCTGGTCGATATGACGGAAATGGATAATATTTTTCTGATGACCGTTCTGCCCAGACCTTCAAATTTCTATGATGCTGTGATGCAGACTAATTTAAAATATTCGAGACTTTCACACACCGAAATATTATTTAAATTATAGAACTTGGATTATTCGCGGCGCCCCTTCCTACTCCGTTTGATTACACCCACTGTACTAAACATTTTACAAATTTTGTAAATTATGAGCTTGCGTAGAATTATTTTTTTGTTTTTATTTCTAGTTGGTATTCGTGGACAATCAATTCCTTAGTCAATGGTGTTTATGCGTTTGGATTTTTATTCATGCTACCGCAGTTGTTTATAAACTATAAACTCAAATCAGTTGCGACGTTACCTTGGCGTGCATTAATGTACAAAGCATTCAACACGTTTATAGATGACATTTTTGCATTTATAATCACTATGCCCACATCACACCGTATCGCATGTTTCAGAGATGATCTGGTGTTCATAGTTTATCTCTATCAAAGATGGTATGTATATAAACATATTTAAATAAAGTTGAGTATTCTAATATTATTTTATTTTATAGGTTATACCCAGTGGATAAATCTCGACTTGACGATGGAACATCTGTTCATAACAATATTGACAAGACTGCTTCAAATGATGAGGTTCAAAACGCTAAGAAAGAAAACTGAGGAATTTAAAATCAGCATATTTTGAAATAAATACGCACATTCCTTTTAACTTGCAAGAAATACACAAGATGCAGTTTAAATTTGGTTTGTTTCAGGATCTGCAGGTAAAGTGCACTTTGCTTCCCTCTACGTAAAATAGGGAAATAACATTCTTTGCACAGAATGTTCTAATAGATTTTTACACTGCGCCATCAATTTAGAGTGCGGGTGAGCGTGAAAATGATAACACCATATAAGATGAATTCTTCTTAAATTAAATAGGCGTATATTTTATTGTAAACCTATTCGTAGACTCTTCCTCAACGGATGTCCAGAGATCTGAGCATCGAATTGAGAAGGTATGGAGAAGGTATTATAATACCTATAATTAGTTATTTTATTAGATCACATTACCTATCTATAAATTGTTGATTTTTATAAAATCAACATTCTTCGAAACTTAGGCACCGCTATCGGGGCAAAATCTATTGGATTTGATTATAAAAAGAAGCGCCTAATTAACTTTAATTAATTTTCTCATGTAAGGCAACACCAATAGTCATTTTATAGTTTTTTTTTCAGAATGGAAAAATAAAATATGTCATTAACCTCTTGAAACTAGGTTCTTATCTATAATTTGATTGCAGATTACAGGAGCTGAAAATAAACCACTTTTTCCAGTATATAAAGAAACACAACTGATTTTAAAATATCGAGCAAAACGAAAAACCTCAAAAACCTTCCTCTCACATTTCGATACGTTTTTGCCTTCCTTAAACATATCATATTCCTACATATGGGTCATTCCGCGCCAAGTGACCGAGGAATAATACAAAAGTGTAATTGACCTCTTCCGATTTGGACCAAATTTGAAGGAGTTGTTTGTTTTGGTCCAAATATTATGCATCCAAATTTTTGTGCCGATCGAAGCACCCTTCGATCCAGGGGAAAATTTTCTATTTTTCGTGATTTTCAAGAAAGTACTACTTTCTTTTATCAATATGTAAATAAAGCATTGTAAAGGGTTTTTATGAGAAAGTTAGACAAGAAATCCAAATGTGAACATATTATTTTCGTACAGTGTGGCCAAATATTTTATATTAACGTTTAAAAACTAAAAACGCAAATTTCTCAGAATGATTCTATTTCCAGTTTGTTAGCACCATCGTTTTCCCCATCATTTTTTACATAAGAAAGACTTATCAGAATAGTAATTTGCGTATTTCTTGAGATACAGCATTTTGAAGCAAAGAATGTAAAAAATATGAGAAACAATATTCTTTTCAATTTTCTTAGTCGAGTAAAAGAACCAATTTTTCTCGCCCACTGAAGCAAGAAAACATGAAATCAAGATAATAAAGATAATAAATTGTTTATAGTCTTGCCAAATTTTAAGATTAATTTTCACCCTACAAACATTAATGGAATTTTTTGTGGGTATAAGTATTTGAATTAAATATTTGATTTGATAGCACCACCAAACTCCAATTTTCAAAAAAGTTAGTATTTTTTCTGAAAAGTATTTTTAATAACCTTTCATTTGATATGTTTCATTCATTCAAATCGGCTCAATGGTTCAAAAGTTATTATTTAAAAAAAAACGCAGGGCTGGTAGCAGGTCACTTTTTAGTGACTTGGTCACTATTTTCAAGCCAGTCTCTAAAAAGTCACTTTTTTCATCAAAAAGTCACTAAAGTCACTATTCCTTAAAATCTAGTCACTAAAATCACTTTTTACGACCAATGTTGAGACTAAAGAATTTGACTTTAAAAACTTAGAGTAAAGTCTGACAAGAAGAGTTGCGAACATATGGAATCGTTAACTGTTGACGGAATCTAATATTTTGATTTTTTTTTATCTTTGAATTGGCATAGACCTATCATAAATTTTCAGAGATTTCGAAAAAAGTTCTACACCTAATATTCTGGCTATTTTACATTGAGATTTTTTTTGCTTTATTATAAAGATCTTGAAAGTTGTCCAAGCCTACACTGCAAAATAAAATTCACATGAAAAGGCACGTAGATATTTTCCATCACACTTTTCTGGTGAATAATACGTATTTTGGGGGAGAGATTACATTTGAGTGATTCCCATAGAAATAAATTGATTTTATCGTAAATTTTATCGGACTTTCCGATGATCTTCAAATTGGCATCACTTAAAAGTTACGGGAATTAGCAAGTAAATGTTACTGGATTTTGTAGTAATGATAAAGTGAATTGGTGATAGACTATAGATATATAATTCGATTTATTAAAGTCATTAAATGATTGCATTCTAGGAAAAAAAAAACACAATAATTTATATGATGTCGAAGTTGAAGTACATTAACAGTATAGTAGCATCCTTATAGTTCGTCAATTGTTTAAGAATCAACACCTCGAACAATCCATTCCCGTATTCTGCAATTTCATTTTTAATATATAAATGAGTGTTAATTTATAAAAATTATAAAACTTACGCTTGAAAACATGAAGAATCCTTCACGTCCACATTCATCAGTATGAACAATCCTTCTAATTCCAAGTCGTTCAACAACGACGAAAGCGCACTTTCTTCTATCGCAATTTTTGAATTACGAAGACAACGAGAAATTCAAGATAGAGCTGGAATTAGGGCGTAACAGCATTTGTAAACAATGACTTCTTTCGATGATGCCTTGAAAGTTAAGACTCGCCCACACTAATCAACACCCATCAGATAGGGTAAGACTTCCCCTACCCGACGGTAATGTTGGTTTGCGTGTGCGTGCATTGAATTCCTAGAAATCATCGAGAGAAGCCATTGTTTACAAAAGCTGTTACGCCCTTATTCCAGCTCTGTCTAGAATTGTTCATACCATGAAATCACGAAAAACTTACTTGAATTTCACTTAACCTTCACCAGCATGATATGTGGACTGGTCCAGTGCAGGCATGGAAAATCATTTACATTCATTTCATACATTCATTTACATTCATTTGCCTCTAACTTTTTTCATCAACAGCATTCCGCAAAATGATGTATAGAGCTTTTGTAGGTTTTGTTATTAGCTACAACTGTCATCATGTCATTGCATTTTATGTGCGGCACGTGGACCTTATTTAATTCCTATTTTAAAGAGGTTACCTGAATTTTCTGGTAAAAATTACCTTTTCCGTTGGTTTAATGTAAAAAAGGAAACAAAAATCAAGCTATCGACATCTGTTCAAAAGCCAGACATTTGAATAATCTTTAACCCCCGGTAGCTTTAGTATTTGTCCAAACATCGAGAAAAATATATCATGTCACAGGTTCTTGAGTTCTTTTTTAAGTCCATTAAATTGTATTGTATTTTTTTCCATACTAATATTCTGGTAATACGAAAACAAAAATTCCAGGTCCAGCTCTTAGAAAAAAATTAATGAACTCTAAAATGTTCTCCTAAATCTCTAACTTTTCACGATCGAGATTTTAAGTCCTAGGCGCATTCAATTTTGTTTTATGTCCGTGATCATTCCATCTGGGCCATAACAATGAGATTTTTTTCTTAAAATGCGATCTAGAAAAGTTGTCTAGATCCGAGAGTTATGATTATTTTACTGTGTTTGAGGTGTTACAGAAAATCTATTCTTGGGATTAATGGAGCAAAGTAAAAAGACGACCAGTTCGTTATAGCGACTACAAAGAAGATAAGGATCTTTTATTAATATACTCATGGCTAACTTAGATCTATAAAAATTTAATCCTAGGCTGCAGTTCTTCATGTTATTCAATGCATCGCTTCATATATATCCTAGATCTTCAAAAAATACTGTCCTGAAATTGTAAAAATCGGTACTTTGTCTAAAATCAGTACTTTGCACATTTTTCTCTGTGCCTCTATTTCGCGATCTAATAATTCGTTATTTGCAGAGTGAGGATATGGAGGTTAGAATTGGCCCGAGCTCTTGCTTATTCAATTCATACTTATTTTTTAAACAAATTTATGTGACCCTTAAATCATTTCTTTTATTTTTAAAAAGCATGAAAAATACCGGAATAACGGAACAATATTTTTTCGATCATTTAATGTCACTATTTGTCACTTTTTAATTGTTTACAGGTCACTATTTGGTCACTATTTTCGTAATTTTAGTCACTACTATTACATCACATACCCACTACCAGCCCTAAAAATGCCATTTTTGGAAAAAAAAAAATAGAAAAAAAAATCGATGTTTTGACCACCCTATGGAAATGGTCACCCTAATGAGAAAATAAAAAAATACGGGTCTAATATTTCCCTGCCTTACTATTATACTAAAGCAAAAATGGTAATCGGATTAGAAAACTTTCAAATAACTGTGGTAGTGTATCTAGAACACTAAGTAGGTTCAGTGTACTAAATTGAGGCACAGAAATTCATATTGATTCACTGTAAAGCATTATAATTTAATGATTAAAAGTGTGCTGTATTTTCTTCCTATAATCAATCCCATATGGAAAATAGCCGACCACAAGACAATTAAATTGTAAAATGAAAAACTAACTGTCGAATATGTGACAGAAAATCAGCATGTTATCTAAACTGTCTGTTTGCCTGTGAAGACAATAGAATTAAATGAAAATATAAAATTATCTACATTTTGGAACAAACAAAAAACGCATTGATAGCTTTTAAACGCAAAAATAACATTTGGGAACACTGTACCAAAAACTCTATTTCAAGATTCGTTGGGCAGTTATCTTATGAAAACATTCAAAATAATAGGTCTGAAGAGGCATTCCATCTGCTTTGAAAAATATCTCAGAAATCACATTTTTTAAATACTTTATTTTATTTATTTTTTAATCTTTATCACAGCAAATATACTTTGGACTTTTGTTGTTAATTTATCTGATATAAAAAAAAACGAGGAACACGATTGTCCTATCAAATTAAATATTTAATACATATATATTCTCAAAAAATATCATTAATGTTTTTAGTTGGAAAAATTTCAACAAGGATCCAGTGGAAGGCAAGTCTGGTGCCAGCAGCCGCGGTAATTCCAGCTCCACTAGCGTATATTAAAAATTTTGCGGTTAAAACGTTCGAAGTTTATTCTTGTCCAACACGGGTGC